TTTTTTTTTTGGTTGGAGGTAGGAAAGCCCTTCCCCGGACCCCGCGCATAGCGGGAGCGTACTGCACCGGGCTGCCCTCTCTGGTTGGAGGTGGGAAGGGATGCGGCGGACGGACAAGGACAAGAGATGGCAATTCAATGCAATGACTTTGCACAATGAGCAATCCGCTGGCGATTTAACCATTTCTTAGCTTATGTTGTGAGTAAAGGAGATATTATTGTTTTTCAATGTTTAACAGCACCAGTGACTACATTGGGCAGCTGCTCTAATTTTATTTAAAGAACAAAAAAGACGATCATGAACTCAGTTGTTAATTGACTAGTGAAATTTTGGAGAAGCCTGCCTTATTAAATCAAGTAGCTCTGGAATTATCATTTTTTGTGGTTATCTTAATAAACATTCCTTACATGCTATTCCGATTCTAATTACCATTCGCTAACCAGTTGAAAATCTATCAGAGCACCTCTGAAATGAGCAAATGCAAGGATAGTATATATCCAACAACACATTGGTAAACTTAATTCTTCAGACTTACCAAAAGCCAACAAGGATTACACAAGCTCTAGGACAAGGGCTGAGGCACCTCCTCCTCCATTGCAAACACCAGCAGCGCCATATTTGCCGTTTTTCTGTCTCAATACCTGAAACATCACATTGGGAAAATGGATGTGAACAAACATCAAAAGGATGATAAATTTTCAACAACCATGAATAGAAAACAAGATCATATTAAGAACTACAAGAAATAATCATTAATTAAAAACCCCAAAATGTATGACAAGAACCAAAAGTGAAAATTCGGGGATTCCAGTTCATACATCTTTTATATATTGCTTGCAGAATAAAGGACAAAAGTTTTAAGAGAGCAGGGGAATGGCTATGTTCTTAACATTTATAATTTTACTCCAACAATAGTTATGTATTGCAGTAGTAACACATACCCCGAGAAGTGTAACCAATATACGAGCTCCACTGCATCCAAGAGGATGCCCTAAAGATACAGCTCCACCATGTACATTAACTTTTTCCTGCGTGAACAAACCAAAATGTCACTGCATTGTCCGGATCAGTCAATGCTTGTTCCAATACTAAATAAAGTACCAAAAACCAAATAATTTATGCCTTTATGTATCTTATTCTTGTTCCATTTTTACATAAAAGCATATACTCCAAATTAGTTTTCTAAAAATAAATAGATCCCATCTGAAAAAACTCAAGGTTGAAGAGAGTAACAAATTTTGAATCTCAAATAATACAGCCTATAGGAGAGATAGTGAACTTACTGGATTAAGACCAAGCAGCTTTTGATTTGCAAGAGATACCACCTGCAAGCAGATCTGTTAAGAAAGGTGTTCACACAAATAAAGCATGCTAGTGCAAAAGAACTAGGTAAGAGTGCATACAGCAAAAGCTTCATTAATTTCATAGAAGTCAATTTGAGAAGCCTCTAAGGTAGCACTTTTGATAGCTTTTGGAATTGCTAGAGCAGGTGCAGTTGTGAATAATTCAGGTGCCTGCAAGATTTAATTTAAATTTGAACATCAAGAGTGCAAGTCTATCCGCCAGAACAGGAGACAAAAAGATATATTATCCATTAATACTAGTATTTTATTTGGAGGGTAGCCTTAAATCTTTACTCAAAGATAAACTACCTGAGCAGCGTCTGCATAGCCACTGATCTTTGCAATCACATTTAGTCCAAGATTTATTGCCTTCTCTCCACTTACTAAGACCAATGCAGCAGCTCCATCACTGAAACGAAAGATTTCACTTGCCATTAACTTTAAAGAAAGGAAGACCAAGAATCTTTTGAAGTTCTGTAGCTAGTTCTTAAAAAATGTTTTTAAGGCAGCATAGTAGATGACCAGAATAACTTCACTCCCTCTATGGACGCAAAGTGTAATATATTCACTTTTCAAAAGGAACCAGAAATGTAAAGATACTGTTACTGTAATTAGGTGATCTTTATCAGCTATATTTTGCGATGCAGTACTTTCAGAGAGGTCGATAGTGAAAGTAACTTTTAGAGTAATTAAAATGTATTGGAGAAGTAGGAGATGCATTTGTTTGTTAGGTTAACAAACAGTTTTTGTTAAGCATGTGAAAACTAGCAGAACAAAATTAAGTCCACAAACCTTATGCTAGAAGCGTTACCAGCAGTCACAGTACCATCTTTTTCCTTAAAACTTGGTCGGAGTTTTCTCAATTTTGCACCATCAAACTGCAAGAGCCAAGACGGAAACAAAATTATATGCATGACAAAGGCCGGAGACGACAGGCACTATAAATGCACGTGACTATATCATGAACATCTTTTAAGTGCCAAAAAAGTAAATTCACATATCTGATCCTTTTGGTGCCCCGAAGGCACAAAGATGGGGTACTACGTAACTATTCCTAATATTCTTTCATCCCGCTAAAAAAGAAATTACAGTGATTTCAATGCTGCATTTAATATTCATTTCTAGCTATTCTATTCTCTTCTCATCCAAGTAGGTCTGAGGTTCAGTAAATTAAGTATCAAGGAGGACTTGAAGAGAAGATGTGAAGAACAAGGCATGTATGTCATTTTGTTTTGCTCCGAGTGACAAAAAGCAAACCCAATGTACTCACCTTTCCTAGACCGTCATCCTTATCAACAATAATGGATGGTTTTCCTCTTCCTCCAGGCACATCAACCTGCAAATTGTCAGGATTCGTCAGAACAGTGACAAACAAACTCTGAGTAACATGCATTTTTTTTGTATGGAGCAATATTTAGAGACCAAGAGCAAGTCATATTACCGGCACAATCTCCCATGCAAAAGCACCGGCTTCCTGAGCAGCAATGCCACGTTCAAAACTTTGAACTGCATAGTCATCCTGCATATATAAATGAGACATAAGTACTGGACTCCTTCAGAATATAAATAGATTTTCAGCAAATTTACAAAGCAGATGGCTGATATCAAAGAAAAAACAGAATGATACTTTACTTTGGTTTCAAATATGAGGAGTGTGGTAAGATATATAATCTAAAGGGCTCAACTTCATATTAAAAAATAAAAAGAGAAATTAGGAAAGTGGGGGACAGCATGTATCGGAACCTTTAATTGATTCTCACAAAAGCTTCTTCAAATGGTGGAATCAATGATTAAACATCAAAACAAAACTAGAGGAAAGATAACAAGGAATTGGCATATAAGTAAAAATCAAATAAACCAAGAGCAGACAAAGCTATATGTCAGAGTTAAAATCAGAGCCGACCTTGCAGCACATCAAGTAAAAACAAAGACGTGAAAAAGACAAACCTGCTCCTCTCTTGTGATTTTATGATTTTCAGCACATATTTCTGCACAAACTCCCATACCACAATCCTTATATACGTCAGTCAAACCATCTTTAAGCATTCCGTCAACAAGACTATCATGTCCAAGACGAGATCCCTTCCTGCAATCATGGCAATGAAGGGTATTGATAACACAGAATTGAAGTACCATAACTAATCAGAATTTCTTCAAAGGCAAAAATACAAGTGACCAGCGCAACAAGACTACCATGTTCCAAACAATACATAACCATATAAAACTTGGTGGGGAGAGAGGTTAAAAAAAAATTGGCTGACAAAGAACAGATCATAAACTGCTTTAGGTGGAAGCATGAAAAATAAGAAGTGAGGAAAGCTGGTCAAGAGCAATACGAGCTGGCTTTGCAATTGTTAGGCTTATTAAGATTTGGGGACGTGTACATTGTTGAATCACAACACGGGTAGGTATGAAGTTGTAGACATTACTATGAGATGTGCCTAAGGAATGCAGGAAAAAATAGGGAAAGGGCATCATTCTTTGTAAAGTCCGTCATTCGAAAAAAAGTTTCAACTGTATCACTATCCTTCTTTGCTTAGGGGAGACTAGGGTCTTAACAGCTCAAACAAAATGTAGTAGCACAATGATTCAACTCTTGAAGAACACAAACCTTGCTTCTGCGATGTATTTCGGAACATTGGACATGCTTTCCATTCCACCAGCCACAACAACATCATTGATGCCCAACTGGATACTTTGAGCTGCAAGCATAGTTGCTGCAAAGCCATAAGAATTATATTTTGTCAGAAACAAATACAACCTCTTTCACTCACATAACAGTTGTAAAAGGAGGAAGAGGTCTCTAGGAAATCAATATAACAGGAAGGTGCATACCTTTCAACCCAGATGCACAGACTTTGTTCACAGTTGTACAAACTACTGTATTGGGTATTCCTGCACCTAATGCTGCTTGCCTAGCAGGAGCCTGCCCCAGGTTTGCACTGAGGACATTCCCAAAGAATACTTCTTCTACTAGTGATGGATCAACATTAGCTTTCTTAAGAGCACCTAAAGTTCAAAGAATAGAGAGATTAATTGAAACTCAGTGAAACTGCAATTGCCAGTGATCGGGGTTTTTCACAAATGAAATAACAGTGTAAAATAGCTAGAGTCCTACCTTCAATGGCTATTGATCCAAGTTTGGTCGCTGACAGCGACGAAAGAGAACCAAGGAAGCCCCCCATTGGAGTACGGGCAACACCAACAATGCAAACATCTGTTCACATTAAAGCACAAAGAATGAGCAATTATCATAGCGAACAGTTTGGAATTTTTTTTGCATGACATAGCAAACCAAATCTAAATAAGCATAGATCCAGCTATCTTCTGCACCAATTCATCAGATAAAAGGATGAGAGACATCAAACATAATGAAATTACTGTTTTTGACAGTGGATACTTTTATCAATCAATCATCTAGGCCTCTATACCAAATAAGTTGGAATCAACTGTTTGAGTCCTCTGTACTGGGAACTCCAGTAGAGAAGTTATGGTTTTGGAAAGGCGATTAAGATGTGCTACCGGTATTGGACTCCACATACTACATAAAATAAAAGTAGTAAGAGCATTCCGTTGTAAAGGTTTTAACTAGCAATTTTAGTTTTTTCCCGTTTTAAGTAACTTTTTTCCGCACCGTCCTACCTATTTAAAGTCTGTTTTAAGTAACTGAATACAAGTAAACCTTGAAACGTGCATTTGAAGCTTCCGTGTTTCGTGTATATACAACTTACAATACAAAATAAAGACTTGCCGAATGAACTCCACATATAGGAGCAAAAATTAAAGTCAGACACACCTATTTCTCATGGTAAGACAAACTTATAGCAATGATCACAGTTTCAGTTTATTAGGAACATTGGAAACAATGAGATATATAAAATATTTCTTTTTCCTGTTTATCTACAGAAGACAATATCCTCCAAATAGAAATCAAATGANGCTGCTCGAGCTATACACCTGGAGAAAAATTAAAAAATCCTGGACCGGCTTAATTGACTGACCCCTCATTTCTTTTTTGGTTTTGAAATAAATGATATAGTACTCTTGTTAGTTACAATAGTACATTAATAATTAACCATTTCCGGTAATATAATAATACTAATAATAATAATAATAATAATAACAGAATTTGTCGTCTCTCCTTACCTTTTCTATGGTAAAATAGATCTAGAACCATTTAACTCTTATAAATATATTATATTATGGATGTTCATTTAGTACTCTGTTGTAAATAAGCTTCCTAAAGAAGCTTATCCATATGGGACTCCACCGTAAATATATTTATCT